AAAAAAAAAAAAAAAAAAAAAAAAACAGTGTTTCAGGGACGGGATGGTTCACAGCCCGCTTCCGATGATTAGTTCGATAACGTGGAAAATTGTCTGATATTTCACTAATTTAAAAAAAAAAAAAACTCGAAAATTTCTCACCTGGGCAGTTGAATTCGTCGCTGTAATCTCCACAGTCATTTACACCATCACAATGAGCAGAATGCTGCACACATTTACCGCTTTGACAGAAGAATGATCCTGAAATAATTCTGGTGCTAATCATACACCACCGGGATCGAACAGAAGACAGAACATTATTCACAGGCGGTTTCCAAGTCAGAAAAACTTGGATTAAAAGTAGTTAAACGTGAGAAACAGAAAGAAATTAAGGCTGAAGATTAACAGAACAGAAACTTTGTTACAGACCAAAATCCACCAAAACTAGTTAGACTGTCCAGATTACCCCACTAATACTCACGAGCTCAACCAATTTTCAGCAAAAAAAGCAACATTTCTTGCCCACTGTGTTTTGCTTCCCCGTGTGGTGGCAACCACATGCTTCACGCAACTTATCTACCGATTATGTATGTGGTCAAGAGGCGACACTTCCGGCATCTTTCGTGTCACCGCTTTCTCCACAGCTAACGCTTTTAATTTTGCTAGCGATTGCTCACCACAACTATACGGCTCCTGCTGGTGCATGGTGCCTTAGGTTCTGCTGTACATTCGGATGCCAGTGATACTGTGAAGCGGCAACGGAAGATATTTCGAAAACCGAGAGATAGGGAAATTTGTCGCTCAGCGTAATACGTAAGCTTCCCTTGTTTCAAACTGAGGGGAGGATAGACATGGAGAGGCCGTAGCTTGTGGAGTGTTCTTGTCTCCTCTCCATAAAAATGCTTACATAATTAGACTGAAAAAAAAAAATGCTTACCTAGCTTCAAACTATCGTCTAAAAAATGCCATAAATCTTCACCACGGACAAATTTATTCCTGCCTCCTTTCCGTTTATTTTGTACCTCCTTCTACTTGGTCGACCCTGGGGAAGGGGAGGCGCTGAAGCGAAATCCAGATCTGCATGAAGCTGATAACGACGAGAGCCGAACCTGTATGTGGATTCGCATAGGCTTACTCTCACAGCCCTCGTGGTATTCAACAACTGTGCCTATGCGTTTTCATTACTTCCCTCCTTTTATTTCAATTAAACTATTTTTACTTTTTCGCCGCGCAACTTTTTTTTTAGCGGCAAACTCATCCTATCGACCACTAAATTTCGCTTTAGCCTACCGCAAAAGCCAATTTAATGATTGGCAGTAGATACGAATATTTGCACTGTTTGATTACCACTCAGGATAGGCCTCTGAGCCCATAGCGAGCCTAGAAACCAGACCCAGAGGCTTAGAAATGCAAAGCCAGCATTTGGCTACAGAGCAAAATTTTCCTCGCGCACCTGAAATGAAATATGCTGCAGGTTGCAAAATCGGACTTCAAAGTTGTAGAGATCAGGTTGGCAGTGGGCCCTTACAAATTACTGTATGCGATGGAATAAAGCTAAGGAATTTTTAAAACTGATTACTTATTCGTTTGAAGTTGCAACGTGTTTTTAATTGGTGAGTAAACTAAACGAAAACAGAATTTTACGGCTGAGGGAAAGTCAAAAAGCCCTCCAATGCCGGCCTCTTTTGTTATTTGTTTTTGCATATATGCAAATGCAAAAACGCATATTGTGACGACCTATGGTGT